TCCAAATTGTTATGGGGAATATAAGTGGAGCAAGGAGTATTGGGTACATCACCTTTGAGTTATTTATAAAAAATAATAAAAGTTTAATATAGATAAATATATAATAAAATTCCGCTATAGTTAATTGAAACTTCTTTTTTCAACCATTGGGTTAATGTGAGTAATTACTTCTTGTGGGTTAGAACTTTTGCCAATAAATTTCAGTGTGAAAAAAAATATAGTCACTATACTAACATTTATGCATAAAACATCTATCTTTCAACTTCAAGTGGATTTCAAAGGTCTGGAATTACTTCCCCTTGTTTATTCTCATTTTTAACTTCCCAATTTTCTCTGCCTTACCATTTAGAGTTCTTTTCTTTATTTTAAAAAATAGCCTTTTCACTTCACATAACAACTGAGCATAATTCAACCTCCCTAGGCCTCGCTTGTTTATTACTTTCAAGGTAAAACAAGCTATAGTAAATTGTAGTAATCGTCACTTGTGGCAATAAGGACTTCTTCTTTTGCAGAGTTTGATAACAAAGTCAGTGAGGTGCTTTACATTTCTTTTTAGATTTAACATTAATGTCTTTATCAAAATGCTGAAGTCAAGAAGGTCTTCAGGATATTTGATCACTTCTAGGAAATTTTATTTGTTTGAGGGTGCATATAAGAGTATTATGTAAAATATTCTTAAATTCCTCTATTATCTTTTTTTTTTTAATTCCTGATTTCTTATGGTAACAAATTGCATCATGTAACTCTTTTGAAGGAAGATTTGAAGATATTTTGTAAAAGCTATTTGATTTGTAGGTCATTAGATATATAATTTTTAGAGTTACTTGGAGCTGTTTATTTATTTATTTAGTGTAGGGAAAATACACGGACTTATAATGGTTCAAATGTTAATGTCCAGTCCACCCAGCCATTCAAGGACAATTGAAAAAATCAGACATTGGGCCAGTGTAAGCTCTTGATGGACATTCAGGCACAATGTGGTGGGTATTTTGTCAAGGAACACTACAGTCATACTGAGCGGTAGAGACAAGACCCCACTTAAACAATGAATCCTGGCAGACACCATGTTGGGTATGGATCTTGTTCAGAGTGGGCCAATACTGCCAAGGAAGGCCAAAACCTGGCACCTTTTGTGTTGGGTCATCTATGTAACTGCTTGTATCTGGCCGTTCAGCAGCTCATTTCTCTTTCCAGTGTGTGTTGATGTCAAAGTTATTAGACAGTTGTTGAGCAAGTGCCAGAGACGACTTCCTGGATTTAAGTCTGCCAATTGATAGATGAGGAAGATCAGCATGCACAGGAAGAAGTGGGTTTCTCATAATTTTGATATACTCCTCACTAAGGTTTCTTAGAGCTGTGAAGGAATACTACACCTCAATGAAGCTTTGAGTAAAAGTACAAAGTGATTCCTCGTGTGGACATATAGAAGTGATCTCTTTGAGCCAGTTCTTGATTAATTACTAGACATAATGAACACAGCACTTCTGATCTATAAAGTTCCCAAGTGCCTACGAAAACGTTTGAGACCTTTCCTGTCACGAATCTGAGATAATCCAGAATTTAGAAAAGGAGGAAAGAAGGGAGACAAATAGATAGATAGACAGTAGTCATAATATTACTTATTTATATCATTATTGTAAAATCAGTAAATTTATACAAGGCAGATGTAAGAGAACTATCATAAGCTGAAAAAGAAGACAGAGTATTTGAAAACATGACAAAGGTTTGCCATGGTTCCAGTCCTGTCTAGAAAACAAAGATCTTTAGCCCTTCAATTAGAAATTAGGGAGAAAGACATTCAACCAATTCACAGACACCCCCATCTTAATGAATTCACTAATAAATAAAGGCTGGGGTTTTGCTAATTCAGTTTCTACATTGATGTATTCACATCCCCTTTTTCTGGGCAATAAACGTAATCAATTTAAAACTCCATGTGAATCTTTCACTGGGGTAACTATAAAGCTTGAGGACACTCAATTCTATTATGAAGAGTGCTCCGGATCTACAAAATCTTTATGCCAACATTTTTTTGAGAGAGAGCTGCTGTCTGAAGTGGATTAGGGTTGATTCAATACTTTATAGAGAGAATGTCCTTGCTTTCCATGTTCCTAATAATTATGCTTCCAGTGAAAAGCTTGTCAAATATAATACCTCACAAACCTAACTCTGGAACCAATTCCACCTTAAATTTGAATTTGAATTCTAGCCTTATGAATTTTAGAATGACCCTTAAGACATCCAGTCCTTGCTTATCAATGGAGACCAAGTGGAGCAAGTGGCTAGTTTTAAGTTTCTGGGTGTTACCCTAAAAGAGGACCTGACCTGGGGTGCTCACATTGCAGCCCTGGTCAAAAGGGCCCAGCAGAGATTATACTACCTGAGACTTCTCAGAAAACAACTGAATGAAAAACTGCTGGCAACCTTCTACCACTGCACCATAGAGAGCATTTTAACATACTGCACCTCTGTATGGTTTGCCAATTGCACAGTGGCAGATAGGAAAGCACTCAAAGGGTTAACATCATTGCCCAGAAGATCATGGGTTGCCCTCTCCCCTCTTTGGAAGAACTTTATAGCTCCCGCTGCCTTAAGAAAGTTCAAAACATTCTCAAAAATCCATCTCATCCTGGAAATCCTTTTTTTGAACTATTACCATCTGGCAGACAGTACAGAATAATAAAAACAAGGACAAATAGGCTGAAAAACAGCTTCTATCCCAGGGCAGTAGCTCTTTTGAATTCTGCTGTATAGTACAGTGTTGGTGTGGTGTCGGGGGTTTCTAGTTCAATGTGTGAAGGGTGAAGGGATATGTGTTTGTGTTTATTGTCATGGTCATGGTCATGATGTACACCGAAGATGGTGTTTGATTTCGTTGTACAAGATGCCATGACAATAAACTAAACTAAACTAAGATGCTTGCTTTTGCAAAACTTATGCAAAAGAACTTACTTCTCATTAATTGCTTGTGATTTATATTATAGTTGCCCTAGTATTAGGAAGTACTATATGTTAATTATTAGACCATGTTAGAAAATGCCCTTGATATTCCTATTGTTTTATTGTTGATATTGATTAGTGTATGTGTTTGTCTGTATCTGTATCATACTTAGATGTAAGTGCATGCTAAAGCTGCTATTAATTTTTTTTTTCAATCCTACTAGTAGACAAGACATCAGCAGAATTTGATTTCAAAATTTACATTGGATGGCTTTACATTCAACACTTAACCATGGTGTTTATATTGTTGATGATGATATACTATAATTCTAATTTATGGATTGTTTATCCATCACACTAAGCTATAACATGTGGCTTACAAAGATTCACAACTTATAATATATTTAAGCTCTATCAAATCACTTTATTTAAGCAAATTTGCATATTTGAGCAAACCATTTGCAATACGTTAAATATCTATAAAGACCTGTAAAATAGTATATAAATTAGAAGACTTTTATCAGGAATGAAATTAGCAAGAGACTATACTTGTAAATCTAGCCTCAGAATTTAGCATGGAAAAGAGGTATTCATTGTTATATTACACTATTTATTTATTTTTAAAATAGTTATAATGTAGTTCATAGGTCCTCACCTTTCAGTAATAACCCACAGAGGTTAATATACCTTTTGAAAAGTCAAACTTGTAAAAAGCTATTGAACAGTGTCCATAATAAAATACAAATCATTGCTGATAGCACAGTGCTGAAACTGAAGCATTTCCCAACAGGCTGGAGCATGAACTTGTTGAAGAAATGACATGACAATTTGAGCTATATACAAAGGAAATTATTTTGCACAAAAGACAATAGATTTTGGGGTCATTCGATGACTTTGAATAACCTTAAGTTCAAGCTACTTAAAAAGAAAATATATAAGCAGCATATAATTATATTCTAGAATTCATAACCATGAAGAAAATAGAGGTTATTAATGTAAATTTTTGGAAGCATTCTGTAAAATGATGCACTCTAGATTTATCATTGGCTATCAACCATCCACTACATTGAAACTCTTTCTTTCTTTCTGATACTATCTACAAAAAAAGGTGCTGAAAACAACCTTCTTGCTATATTACTTCATATATTAATTCATAAATATATATGCTTGTTTAATTGCATTAATCAGTGTGTGTGTGTGTGTGTGTATCTATATATCTATCTGTCTATCTACATCTACACACACACACACACACACACACACACACACACACACACACACACATATCGGGGAGAGTAAAAAGAGAGATCAGCCTAGAATCACCACATAGCCAGGGACAAATTAATTCCAACCCCCTTTGACTGCTGTTGACTCTTATCCAACTCTAACCAAGTGCTGACTATTAGTTGAGAATATTGCTGTGCATAGGCTTTTAGCAATAAATCAGTGTTAAATTAAACACGTTTGAACCTTGTCTTTCATGTTTGAACCTTGTCTTTCATGTCTGACAATGTACTATGCATCACAGAGATTGTATTCTGTACACCAAAATGTTTATATTCTATACACAAACATATTTTCTATCGAATGTGAATCATGGCTTAATGTTTTGCTTGTCCTGTCATTGAAAGGAACAATTTCTGAATATACAGGACCAGCCAACCATTGTCAAGTATCCGCTGATTCTTCTCAGACTTCTTCAGAACCTGTTTGCCATACTCATTGGAAAACTAGACTTTTTTCCTACTTGCTTACTCAAAACTACACAATTTGTATGGGTTTCATAGAGCAAATCAGTTGATATTTGGGGTTTTCAAATAATGGTAGGGTTTCTTTGAGTAGTTGAGTATAAAACTACTAAATATAAAAAGTATAAATATAAAAATTGCATGCATACGCAGAAAAAGCTACTCTATTTGGATTCAGTATTAGTTGATGTTGTTCAAGTAACTTTTAAACTTGATTATCCAAATGAATTAGCTGAAAAACGTTTCAACTTTTTTTCAATAGGACAATACAAAACAAAACATTGGCTTGAGATAAGTTACTTCTTTACTCACCTTCTCTGCTGACTGTGCTGTTCCAAAAAAGATTGGAATAAAAGCTAACCAAATGATACAGGTGGTGTACATGGTAAATCCAATTGGTTTTGCTTCATTGAAGGTCTCTGGAACGCCTCTTGTTTTAATAGCATATACAGTACATGTTACCATTAAGAGAATACTGTATCCAAGAGAACAAATGAGCGATAGATCCGAGATGTCACATTTGAGAATCCCACGGGCCTTGTCAGGATCCACAGTTCTCTGCTCTCCATAATCTACTATGATATGTGGAGGATCAATAGCAAACCAAATGAAGACTCCTATAAGCTGTATGGATATGAGGCTGAAAGTAATCACCAGTTGGGAACCTGGGCTGATGAACTTTGGAGCAGTGACCGATTTTTTCCCTTGCTCAAATATTCGATGGATCCGGTTTGTTTTGGTGAGCAAGGCTGCATAACTGAAGCACATCCCAAGTCCGAGGAAGATCCGTCGAAAAGAGCAGATGGCAGTGTCTGGACGTGCAATCATTAAAAAAGTGATAGCATAACAGAGAAAAATCCCAGTCAAGAGGACATAGCTTAGTTCACGCCCTGAGGCCCTGACAATTGGGGTGTCGTTGTGGCGGACAAATGTCACAATGACAAAGGAGGTTGCAATGATGCCAAGTATTGCTATGAAGACAGGCACAATCGCCCACGGGGAATGCCACTCCAGTTTGATGATGGGAATGAGTTGGCAGTCCGTGCGGTTGGTGTTGGGTTTCTTATCAAAGGGACACATTTCACAGGTGACCTCATCCACTTGGTAGTGATATCCTTCACAGCGCTCGCAATGCCAACAGCAAGCTACTCCCTTCACCATCTTCTTCCTTTCCCCAGGTTTGCAGGGCACACTACAGACTGAAGCGGGGTGAGTTCGTTCTTTGATATCCCAAAGCATATCTTCTACCTATGGTTATATATATTAAGAAGAAGAAAAAAGATAATGAGCCATTCATCATCTCCTAATTATAATATCCCCTAATCTTGGCCACAAGTTTCTCATGAATCACCTTGTTTTGACAATACAAATACAGTTTATTTGGATAAGAAAACCCCTCTTTCTCTGATACCGATTTTATGAAACTGTTAAATGATTGGGCACAATAAATCATTTGCGCCTTGAGCTTGATGAGTGTCATTAGTTTCTATTTACCTCTTTACTGCTGACCAAATGGATACCTGTGAAAAGATTTATTGACTCTTAAGCTCTAGTCTGAAGCAAAGGCATCCTATAAAAAGGAATGGATGAACTAATCACATGCAAATATAGTTCTCAAACATTTAATTAGAAAATAATGGCATACGGGTTTTGAATTAATTTATATCATAACGTACGGACAGAGTAAATATCCTGCACTGATCTAGGAAAGAACGAGGAGTTTTATTTCTGCAATGTAAAATTATGAAGCAAGGAAATATTTTATTGTATTTTTATCTTTTGGATCTGTCTCAGGTTGCTTTGCTTGTTATCTTTTACCATCTAGAGAGTTATTTGTTTACCATATTTACTTCCCCCCCCCATCAAATTTCTCTGAGGGGCTTACAACAAAACGACACATAATAAAAGCTTAAACATCAATCCAATATAGACAAATAAAGTAGCATTCCTGATTATTCACCTCATTGATTCACTAATTGCCACCAGTCCTATCATGCCTCTCTAAGCGCACAAGGAAAACATTGTCTTTATCGTTCTGAACAAGAAAAGGGAAGCCAAGAAAGCTTGCTTCTGCTTCCCACTTTTTAAAGATTTTGGGTGAGTAGAGGAATCTTCTGCATTCTCCCCCAGTCTGCATGAATCAAGCAGTCTTCCTACTGCAGGCAACCCTTGAAGGCCTTGTTATAAAAGACTTCATAGCTGACAAAGAGAACTTTGAATTATATCTAGAAAAAAAATATAACCCAGGGCCTGGCTTCAGAAGATTAGATAGCCTTTTGAATTCTGATGGACTTTTTATTTTTTACACAATTAATTTGTTGTAGGATCTCAGTGCTTCTGTAGATCAACTAATCCTTTCAAGAGAAGGGCCCTTGGAATCCAGCACTGTAATAGTAACAACAAACTTTGCATGAGTCAATCCATTTTTAAATTGCATTCCCTCATAATTTCTCTCCTTTGCACAGCTATAACTGGAATTCAAGACATTTGGTTTCATAATGTACATGTTAGTATTATGTGAGTGTGACAAGAACCAGTTAGCAATGATCAGATGTAAAGTTCATTGAGTGTTTCCTTTTAATTACAGAATTGTTTGGAAATGGAGAAAATTATTCACAGCATTCCATCTTTAAACTTCTTAGAGATATAGTGATATAAATAAATAGTTAAATCATTTTACAGACATAATAGTTATACCAACAGACAAGTTTTCCTCAAAGATTAATTAATTTACATTAATTGCATTAATACAGTGCTACATTACTTACAGTACTACATTTTACATTGGTATCCACAGCACCAACAAGGGAAGCAGATGACAAAACAACTCTGTCTTGTAAATAGACAAATAAATGTACATAAGGGATGAACCATGTGTTGCAATATCACAATTGCACACTTGTTTTGTTGTTTTGATGGAACTGTCAGATTCTTCAGACTTCTCTGATTATTTTCTTCCTGTAGCGCAATTACAGAATGTTACTTGCCTATGGCTTCATTTAAACTTTTTTAAACTACTGCTTTGATGACTTTTAGCAGAAATATGATTTCTTTAAAAAAAGAAACAAATTAAAGAAGGGAAATACTGAGTGCTGCTGAGCTGCATTTTCCGTATCCTGTAGCAGCATGGCCACTGAAAGCAATACTTTGGCAACATCACAAGGATTACACCAGTGTGAGATTCAATTTTTTGTATTACTAGTTCTGTGGGTGTGGCTTGGAGGGTGTGGCAGTGGAAGGATACTGTAAAATCTCTAATCAGAGGTGGAATTTGCCAGTTTTCTGAATTACTCAAAATTTCCGCTACCGGTTCTCCAGAATTGGTCAGAACCTGCTGAATACCACCTCTGGATTACACATCCTTCACCTATTTCAGGTTCATAGATAAAGAAATCATATCACATGGGACCAACCCTAGAGACTTTATGAAACTTCTTTGCCAATAAAATGGAGAGGCATTTGAAACATCATGTTTCTTGGTGTTTGTGAATGGTCAGCTTAGTCTGACTCAATAAACGTCTTCTGGAAGAGGCAGGGCAATGTTCTTCAAATGTAATTCATGCATATTTAATTCAACCAGTTCAATTTTACCTGTACTTTATTAAACTCGAAAATACTATAGGTAGAGATCGGGGAGTCACTCAACACAATTGAAAAGTACATTTTTAGCTACTCCAGAATCAAACCAGCACTTAAAACCCAACACATTATTTTGCAGATGGAAGCCATGATCCTGATTGTGAGAACTAGGAATCACATATCACAAATTAGCAATCAAACAGGCAAGCCACTGTTAGTCCTGATGGTTTGTTTTTTTCCAGAACAACATGGAAAATTTCACCTGTACAAAGGTAATCTTCTGCTGAGTTGCACCAGGCGTCTGTTTAGTTAAAAAGTCTTCTGAAAGAAGTTTAACAGTGACCCACAAAAGATCAATTTGCCCAAGGGTTTACAAGTGTTTTTTTTCCTCTCCCTTTCATGCTTTCAAAGGGACAGTTGACCTAGTTAATAAATTATATTCTATCAAATAATTGTCATTGTTATGGGGGAAAAATAGTCAAGGGATGGTACAAAATGAATGGACCAGAAATTTCAAAACAATAGGATAATCCATCATTTTAAATGTATACAATAATGTATACTATGTTCACTATCTCTATTAGTCATTATAGGTTTCTGATTAGACTCAAACTCTTCAGAATTTTCATTAAAAATCTCTCCATTACAATCTAATGTAATACTATATATACATGAATGACATGGTTTAGAATCTTAACAGCTGACTAATTATCTGACTAATTATCTTTTAGAAAACTTTAGGGGCTTGACATAAGCAAAATAATAGCCATACTGCAAAAGTTTGTGTGAAAATTTAAAGCAATGTTTTCTAACTTCTAGACTTCAATTCCCAGAATTCCCTAGCCACTTCCAGTATATATAGGATAAAGAAACTAACATAGTGAGAGGTGATGTGATATGACGTAATGTCTGGGAGCAAAAACCGATCTATTTTAAATGTAGATTTTCTAGGCAAAGTCATAAGCAACTGATAATATGCACTTTTTTCCTTACTTACTTTCTCTAATATATATTGGACTAGAATCAACCACCCCCAAATGTACCTTCCTTATTGTCATTTTCTCCAAATATGCCCTGATTTTGAAGCATTTCTTTTATGCTAAACTTTTTGTTTGCATTTTTATCCCAAGCTCTATTTCCTTTTTATAAATCTTTTCAGGAAAGGAGGATGGACGGAGGGAGGGAGGGAGGGAGGGAGGGAGGGAAGGAAGGAAGGAAGGAAGGAAGGAAGGAAGGAAGGAAGGAAAGAAGGAAAGAAAGAAAGAAAGAAAGAAAGAAAGAAAGAAAGAAAGAAAGAA